TTTTGCAGTATAGTCCTTTAAAGTTTCATTTTTCTTATAATCTATTATAAGATTTACAATACAAAAATTGATTTTCCGAAGATCTTTTATTTTGTCAATTTGGTCTCTTTTCTTAGCACCTAGCCCATGTATTCTAAGATCATAGCGTTCTGTATATTAATGATTTCTTCATAGTAATACAAAGACACTTATCAAAAAAATCTAAAATATAAAAATAAAAAAGTGATATATATTCATAAAGAGAAGTTATTAATAAAAGGTGCGATAATGAAGATATTCTAATTCAAAGACTATCTACAGTTCTAGTTATAACTTTAGCTACAAGAAAAATCCTACAAAAACAAAATAAATATAGTAAAATTTAGGAACTAGCTTATGAAGCAACATTACTGGCAATAGATAATGATGATAACAAAATTATTGATATTCTTCAAAACTATATCTTGAAAAAAAAAAATGAAAAAAATATATTTACTAGTGATAGATAAAACAATAATAAGAAAAAATCACTTTTAAAATCAGGTGAAATAGATACTAATATGGATAAATATCAAGCTATATTAGAAGAATCAAATAAGCCAGATAATAATTATTTTGACGATAAAGTGCTTAATAATCAAAATATTGGTATACAAATTTCTCAGAATATTCAAAATCCTATTTATGTTATTAGAAAAGTAAAACCTTCTAAGCATTATTATAAAAATAGTATAGAAAATAAGCAAACCCAACAAGAAACTTTTAGAGATATATATAAATGTAGACAATATAGTGAAGTTGGTCATAATACAGTATATTATAAGAAAAGGGGAAAAGAAAGTAGTAATTAAAAGAAAAAGAAGAAACGTTGCATGTCTAATTTGCTTTATTTAAAGATAATATTACACAATTTAATATCTATCGCTATATAAAAAAATCTAATGTATATTAATATCTTTATATATATGCTTTGCTATATATAAAATTACCTTATGGGCCGATCACATAACTCTTCCTGACGATCACTTGTACCAAATTTTCTCTACAAACAATCTGTGTTTTTGCAATATTTTTCTAAGTAAATTATAGCTAGCTGCCTAAGTAAACTTGTTCTTTACAAGATTTTACATATAGGTGGTCCTTTATTATATCTCTTTAGCCCTTCTACAAAGAGATATAACACATTTATTCAAATTCTTTCTTCTCTAAAATT